TCTTCCTTCCCAGAGAGGACCAGCTCCATGCTTCAGTCATGGAGTCAGTCACTCAAGAAATCATTCCTTCCGAGGAGATGGCCCAGGGGTCCCCCCATTAACCCAGGAGAAGCCCCAGGTGTTGTTTCGCCTACCCTGCAGCTAGTGGTTTTCTGGTGGCTCAGATGGTAGAGAATCTGCCTGCAATGCAGGAGACCCTTGTTTGATCCCTGGGTGGGGAAGATCCGCTGGAGAAGGGAGTTGGCTACCCACTCCAGAATTCTTGCCTAGGATAATTCCTTGGACAGAGAAGCCTGGTGGGTTACAATCCATGAGATACCAAACAGTTGGACTGGACTAAGCGACTAACAAGCTAGGGGTTAGAATTCAGGATCTATCCAATCGGGCAAACAGGTGTACTGACACCTGTCCCTACTCTCCTGGATAATGGGTCCATGGGTCTCCCTGCCCCCTCCAGGGGTCCCCATGCACACTCTAACTTTAGAAATCGGCATTCAGGATCTTCTATCTAAGACAGAACATAAGTGTTTTGACACTTAGTCCTACCCCAGAACTGTGAAGTTTGGAATTCAGTTGTCTCTTCCCCAGGAAGCAAGCCAGGGGTCTCCCTGCATGCCCCCAGTGACCCAGGAGGAGTACCAGATGTTGTCTGCCCACCCCCCCTCCACACACACACACTCATCCTCCCACAGATAGAGGCTTCAGAGATCATAATGTTTCCTCTCTAGGAGGTAAGCCAAGTTCCCTACCAGGAGGCCCCAAATATGCCACCCCCAACAATGGGACTGGAATTCAGGCCATGTACTTACAGTAAGCACACCCACCCTCTTCCCCTCGAAGGGGCCATGGTCAAGGGGACTCTCTCTCCTCCACAGGACCTGAGCTTCCCACCAGAGGAGGAGCCCAGGATGGAGAGAGGGGCGGAGCCATGGAGCTGGGTGCTGGAGACCTCTAGTGCTGGGTCCCCTGACTTCTATCCAGGTGTGGGGCTGAGAAGGGAGGCCCCTCCCCATGTCCCACCAGGGCCCCTCTTTTCCCTGCCCTGGCAGGAGCCAATGCAGTCTCCCTATAGCACGAGACAAGAGAAGGATCTGTGTGTGTACCCCAAAGATGGATCTGGGGTACAGCCTGACTCCCTCTCCCTTCCTAGGCTCCAAAAGAGACCCCCGGTTCCCCAGAACCTACTGTCCACTCACCCTCTGCCCTCACCCCATAGATCCTGCCCCAGAAGCCGGTACTTCCACACCAGGGATGAGGCGTTCCGTCTTAGTCAGGAACCCAGGCCACAAAGGCAGGAGGCCTGATTATGAAGAGCTTGACTCAGACTCAGAAGACCTAGACCCTGACCCAGAAGAGCTGGACCCGGCTTCTGAAAACCTGGAGCCTGAACCGGAAGACCTCCACACTGTCTCTGAGGACGTGGACCCCAGCTATGAAGATCTGGAGCCTGTCTCCGAGGCTCTGGATGCCGAGGTGGATGCTCCAGGCTCCATCTCGGGGATCCGTGACTCCGACCCCCAAGATCTCGACCCCCTGTCTTCAAGTTTCGACGACCCCGACGTCATCGGCCCCGTTCCCCTGATCCTCGACCCTAACAGCGACACTCTCAGTCCCGCTGCCGCCCCAGACCTGGACTCCCTCTCCTCCGACCTCCCTGCCACCCCTGAGGTCCTGACCGCCGCCCCGGCGGTGCTCCCTGCGCCTGCCAGCCCACCCCGGCCCTTCTCCTGCCCTGACTGCGGGCGAGCCTTCCGCCGCAGCTCGGGGCTGAGCCAGCACCGCCGCACGCACAGCGGCGAGAAGCCCTACCGCTGCCCCGACTGCGGCAAGTCATTCAGCCACGGCGCCACGCTGGCGCAGCACCGGGGCATCCACACTGGCGCGCGGCCCTACCAGTGCGCCGCGTGCGGCAAGGCCTTCGGTTGGCGCTCCACACTGCTCAAGCACCGCAGCAGCCACAGTGGCGAGAAGCCTCACCATTGCCCGGTGTGTGGCAAAGCCTTTGGCCACGGCTCACTGCTGGCGCAGCACCTGCGCACGCACGGCGGCCCGCGGCCGCACAAGTGCCCGGTGTGCGCCAAGGGCTTCGGGCAGGGCTCGGCGCTGCTGAAGCACCTGCGCACGCACACGGGCGAGAGGCCGTACCCATGCCCGCAATGCGGCAAGGCCTTCGGGCAGAGCTCGGCGCTGCTGCAGCACCAGCGCACGCACACGGCCGAGCGCCCCTACCGCTGTCCCCACTGCGGCAAGGCCTTTGGCCAGAGCTCCAACCTGCAGCACCACCTGCGCACGCACACGGGCGAGCGGCCCTACGCCTGCCCCCACTGCTCCAAGGCCTTTGGGCAGAGCTCCGCGTTGCTGCAGCACCTACATGTGCATTCGGGCGAGCGCCCCTACCGCTGCCAGCTCTGCGGCAAGGCCTTCGGCCAAGCCTCCAGCCTCACCAAGCACAAGCGCGTGCACGAGGGTGCGGCTGCAGCTGCGGCTGCCGCCGCTGCTGCTGCTGGCCTGGGCCTCAGCCCCACTTCGATGCTAAGACCAGGGCAGGCCTCCCTCCTGGGTCCGGATGCTGTCTCAGTGCTCAGCCCTGGCCCTAGCTCTGGCCTTGACCCTGACCCTGGCTCTGCACTGGGCTCCCTCCCCAATCCCAACCCCAGACCCACCAGTGGCTCTGGATCTAGCCCCATCCCTGATTCTGTCCTGTCTTCTGATCCTAAGCCTGGGCGCAATGCCAATTCTGACCTCCTGGCTAGCCCTGACCACAGATCTGGCCTCAGCCCCAACACAGATCCTGTGCCCAGCCCTGACCCCAACTCCAAGTCCCACCCTGACCCCGGCTCTCCCATCCGTGACACTGTCAGCCCAGCCCTCCCTACGGGCGAGAGTCCCAGGTGGGTGCAGGAACAAGAAGCCCTGCTCGGGCCTGATGGCTGAAGGGTGTGCTGGCACCCACAGGGGCCTGGGAAAGCGTGTGTTGTGCAGTTAGTAAAATCCTCCCACTGCCTCCTGGCTCTGCGTCGTCGTTCTGCTGTTGCTCTTTTTTTCTAATGTGCAGCCTGCTCCTGGGGAGATGGGAGGGCACTGCCGGAGCGAGCCACACAAATGGAACCTTAGTGTCCTGGCTCCCCCCACAATATCCTCCTGGCCTCCCAGCTTCCCCCAGGAGGTCTCATACTGGTCCATCCCAGCAGTCGCCACTCTCTGTTCCCCAAGACCTAGTCACCCCAGTCAGGGGCGGACTCACCCTGCGGTTTGGTCTATGCTGCTTCCTCTCCTTTTAGAGTTAACTTTCCCACACGTGGTGGGATTTCTGGCACATTGAACGTCTAGCAGGTGCATAGCAGAGGCTGATATGAAACCATGTGGGCAGCCTGCCCTTTCTGCTCCCCAGATTTACCCCTTATCCTTCAAAGCCCACGTTGCAGGGACACCACAGGACAAAGGAGAGGTCACTCGCTTATTTATTCAACAAATGTGTGTTGATTGCTCATGTCTCAGCAGGGAGCAAGATTAGCACAGCCTTGGTTCTCACAGAGCTCCTGGAGTTCAGAAACACTTAAAAAGCAACTATAGAGTTTGGTGCATTCAAGAAGCATAACAAGACTTTGATTTAAATAAGGGACAGCTTCCCTGTGGAAGGAAGTGATTATAAGTCCAATCACTGCTACTTTAATCAGCACTACTGTTGGTCCAGACTTGTGCTATGCATTTGCATTTTCTCACTTAATTCTTTTTAAAAAATAATTTTATTTATTTATCTTTTGGCCATGCTGGGTCTTCATTGCTGTGCATGGGCTTTTCTCTAGTTGCAGTGAGCAGGGGTTACACTTTGTTGTGGTGCATGGGCTTGTCATTGTCTTAGTTTCTCTTATGGAGCACAGGCTCTAGGGAGACAGGCTTCAGTAGTTGCGAATCACAGGCTCTAAAGCACTGGCTTAGTAGTTGTGGAGCACAGACTTAGTTGCTCCACGCCGTGTGGGATCTTCCCAGATCAAGATAGAATCTGTGTTCCCTGCACTGGTAAGCAGATTCTTAATTACTGGACCATCAAGGAAGCCCTCATTTAATTCTCTCAGCAGCTCCATGAGACAGATAACTGAGTATTCCCCTTTTGCAAACGAGGACACTGAGGCACATGGAGCCTTAAGGGAGTTTTTTAAAGACCCAGAAGTGGTGGCTGCGAGTGTCTAGATTTAAACCTAAATTGCCTGCCTTGGAGCCTGCATTATCAACCCTATGCTCTAAGGCAAGATTGTACTAAGGCCCTGGGGCCACTGAGATGTGACAAGGGAGGAGGTAGGTGGGGGTTGGAAAAGAGGGCTCCAGTAGATTGAAGAGGGGGAGTTTGCTTGTCATCCCAGAGAAATGGGAAGCTACCAGCAGGTTCTGACAGAGGACTGATATCATTTATTTTTGGAAGACCCTTCTGGTGGCTGGATGGACAGGGGAATGGAGGGGAATCAGAAATAGGAGTCTAAGATCAGGGAGCTTGTTGCAGTGGTCCAAGCCAGGAATGTTGGGAGACTCTGGGCTGACAGCCATTGGATGGAGGAAAGTGGTCCTATTTTAGGATACAATTAGGAAAAGAAGTAGGATTAATGATAGTTCAGATAAGAGGGTGTTGAGAGTAAGGGAGGGTTTCTGGGACGATGGGGCCGGGCACCCTTGAGACAGGATCATTATCCTACACCGCGGAGGAAAAGGGGTCAAGCATTCGACATGGAAGCCAAGAGACTGGCAGTGGACGCCGGAACGACAGGGAGCCGGGACCGAGTCAGTCCTAAATCCGCACGCTCACAGCCGGCCCATCCCCCAGCACATTAGCACCTTCGGCGATAGGACCTCGCGACCGCCGAGAGGAAGTCAGCCGCCATCCGAGGCCCGCTTGCGTGCTGCTCGGGCAGAGGTTGTCGTGGCGCAGGGGGCGGGACCGGATTTGGTCGCCTGCCTCCCAGGCCTCGGTGGTCACGTGACTGAGGCGCGAGTCAGCTGATGCGGGAGGGTTTGAAGCTGCACCGCCAGGGAGCGAGGCCGCAGTGACAGCGCGGGGCGCTCGGACCGCGGCTGCCCCGCAGCGCCCGGCGGCGTCCGGCGCTCCGGGCCCGACATGGCAGTCCCAGTAGGCCCGCGCGGCTCAGGTGAGGGCGCTGGCAGCCCGGCGAGTTCCGGAACGCGGGCTGCGAACCTGCGGACGGCTTCTCCTACCTGGGACGGCGGAGCTCCGGGTTTCCCTTTCCTCAGCTCCCATGCCCATCTCTCAGCTTCCTAGTGGCGTCGGTATGGACTGACGACTCCTAGAGCCTAGGAGAAAGTGCAGAAAGGGCAGGCTGCCCACATGTGGCGGGTGGGCACCAGCTTCTCCCCTCTAAATGGCGGGACTCCGGGCTGTGTTCTGAGTACCTTCATCTCAGGCAGCTGGCGAAGCGCCAGCTTCTCCGACTCGCGGAGGCGAAGGTCCCAGGATTTGCATCCCGAGCCTAGATTCGGATTGCTTAGTTCTGCTGAAACTCTGACCGCGGGCCCCAGCTTCTCCGATCCCCAGCCCCCAACCCCACCCCCACCCTCCTGCCCCAACGTCAGACTCCCAGACTCTGCTTCCCCGGGCCAGGAGGCAAATGCTCAGCTTTTCTAAACTCAGGCAGGACTTCTGGGGCGGGGTTGCCACCTTAAACCCAGGCGCCTAACTCAATTTCAGATCTCCAAACCCCTGGAAGCTCAGTTGCCTCTCACAGGGGAGCCTGGAGGAATGCCCATGTGTTGATCATCCCCTCTTAAACTAGCTGCAGACACCTCAGAGATGTCCTAGTCATTGGAGCCTGGGGTGGATTAGCTGTGATCCCAGCCAGGGAGGTGCCCCACCCTCTGGCTTCCCATCCAGCTGTCTTGTAAACAACCACAACAGCATCTGAGTGCCAAAGGGATCTGGAGGTGGCCTTCCCTGTGGAACAGGTTCTGAGAGTGTCCACATTTCATCTTGGCGGCTGGGCTAGGCAGAGAGCCAGCCAGGCCTTGGAATGAAGCAGGGGTCTTCCAGTGGGGATCATGGGGGTATGTCAGGGACTATTCTAGGCTGCTGTGACCAACTATGACCCCAGCAGTTGCTGAAAACTTGGACTTCCTCTTGGGCTGGTCAGGATTGAAAGGAATCAGTGGTGCTTAGAATAGCCTCTATTTAGGAGTTCCCTGGTGCTCTAGTGGTTAGGACTTGGTACTTTCATTCCTGTGGCCTGAGTTCAGTCCGTGGTCTGGGAACTAAGATCCTGCAAGCCCCTAGGCGTGGCCAAAAAGAAGGGGGAAAAAGCAAACAAAAAAAATAGAATAGCCTCTACTTGTTGAGGAACTATTGAGGCCTAGGGATGGAATGCTTTGTAAGTATCAGATCCTTAGCTTCATAGTGAAAGAATTTATGGCCCCATTTTTTTTTTATTGCCCCATTTTGCAGTCGAGGAAACTGAGACTCAGGGAAGCTGAGTGTCCTGAGGCAGGGCCAGGAATCAGTTCAGGCTCTTTCAAGTGACTTATAGTCTTTGACCAGCACTGCTGCAAATGTCTGTAGAATGTTACAAATTTTCTGGTTTTCCTTAGATCTCTCAGAGTTTTCTTAGCTGGAGCTTGGGACCTGCCTCCCCTATTGGCAGGTAAACTTGTCATGCCTGGTCCCCACTTCCCCCTCCCTCCCATCTCACAGAGACCGAGCGGCTCCTGACACCCAGCCCTGGATATGGGACCCAGACAGGGGCTTCCCCAGCCCCTTCAACCCCTCCAGAAGAGGAAGATCTCCGTCGCCGTCTCAAGTACTTCTTCATGAGCCCCTGTGATAAATTCCGGGCCAAGGGTCGCAAGCCTTTCAAGCTTATGCTGCAGGTGGTGAAGATCTTGGTGGTCACTGTGCAGGTGAGACCTGTACCACTCCCCCCAGCCCCCAGAATTCCACCCGTGGGTCCTATTTTCCTTGAAGGGGAATCTTGGAGTCAGAGCCTAGTCCTGCCCACACTGCAGCATCATGATAGTGATAGTGGCAGTCATCAGTCGGGAGCCCTCTGGGATCTGCACGGGAACAGCTCCTTTAAGCTTCACAAATACCCTCTAAGGTCCTGGCCAGTGTTGTCACCCTTTTTTTTTATAGATGAGACAAATGAGGCTCAGAGAGGTTAGGGGACTTGTCCAAAGTCACGTAGCAACTAAGCCTTGGGAGCTGGCATGTGGACCCTGGCAGTCTGGTGCTGTGCTGACCCTCAAAGAAAACTGACCTGGTGGCAGCAGAGATCACTGCCCTCACTCCCTCCCTCCCAGGCCCTGTGCTGGGCTCCAAGGACTCCACGATGAGTCAGACTCAGCCCCTGTCCTGAGAGCTTCTGCTCTAGTGACTTTAGGTATGTCACCATGCTTCTGATCTCTGTCACTAAAGGAGCCCAGTGAGGGGCTTCCCAGGTGACTCAGTGGTAAAGAACCTACCTGCCAATGCAGGAGATGCAGGTTTAATCCCTGGGTCGGGAAGATCCTCTGGAGGAGGAAATGGCAACCCACTCCAGTATTCTTGCCAGTGAAATCCCATGGACAGAGGAGCCTGGTAGGCTATAGTCCGTGGGATCAAAAAGAGTCAGACACGACTGACTGACTGAACAACAACCAAAGGAACCCAATAGTGGTACTTAGCCTGTGCAGTTCAGTTCAGTCACTCAGTTGTGTCTGACTCTGTGACCCCATGGACTGCAGCACACCAGGCTTCCCTGTCCATCACCAACTCCTGGAGCTTGACTCTCCCCATAGGTTTGTGTTTAGCACAGCAGCTGGCGCCCAGTACACATGGAATGGACGTTCGCTGTTGCTTCGAGTTCTATAAACAGCCACTGTGGGCGTATGGTGGGCCTGCCCTCATGGGGAGGGCCCTCTCTCTTCTCTCACTCCACTCATGCACTGTGGGAGATTCCATCATCCTCGTCCCTCCTGCCAGCTCATCCTGTTTGGGCTCAGCAACCAGCTGGCGGTGACGTTCCGGGAGGAGAACACCATTGCTTTCCGGCACCTCTTCCTACTGGGCTACACGGATGGGGCAGATGACACGTTCGCAGCCTACACGCGGGAACAGCTATACCAGGCCATCTTCTATGCTGTGGACCAGGTGCGGGTGGCCAGGAGCCAGTGGGCAGCTGGGCCCTCAAGGGAGAGTGGGCAGGGCTGACAGACCCTCCCCTCCTTTGCCTGCAGTACCTGATGCTCCCAGACGTGTCCCTGGGCCGGTATGCCTATGTGCGGGGCGGGGGCGGCCCCTGGGCCAACGGCTCAGCCCTGGCCCTCTGCCAGTGCTACTACCACCGGGGACACGTGGACCCAGCCAACGACACATTTGACATTGATCCAATGGTCGTCACGGGTGAGTGGGCTGGGCAGGGCTCAGTGGTCAGGAGCCCGGGCGGCTAGGATTAAAATCCCACTTGAAAATCCTTCCTGCTCATCTGGAAGTCAGGGTGGTGAGGATGATGTCATGATTAGTAGGCTGCTTGGTGTGCAGACAGAGCTGCATGTTATGTTTCAGTGTCATTCATTCACTAAACATCTGGGGCCACAGAGCGCCAGGCCCTGGGGCCTGTGTACGGGGTTAGATAGACTGGGCCTGACCCTTGTGGGGTAGACAGCAGAAACAAACAAATGTTGAAACATGAAGGGGGAGGTAAAGCAGGGAAGGGGGATGTCGGGGACTCTGGGGAGACCTGCCTGTGCCTCCCCTGCCACCAGTGTCCCCTCCCTGACTCCCTGTCCTCAGACTGCATCCGGGTGGACCCCCCTGAGAGACCCCCCGTCCCCCCCAGTGATGATCTCTCCCTCTCGGATGGCAGCGCCAGTTACAGGAACCTCACGCTCAAATTCCACAAGTACTGTCTGACCGATCGAGGGGGCTGGGGGTGCGGGGAGGCAGGACTCCAGGCATCTTCAGTGTTGGGGGAGGGGGCAGCCACTTCCCCACAAGCCGGGGCTGGGCGGGCCAAGCCGGTGCTGCCACATGAGCACTTCCTCTGCCAGCTGCAGAATCAGCGTGGGGCAGAGCACTGGCACTCAGGCAGAGCCCACCCACCCCCTCACCCAAGCCTCCCCCCCAGGCTGATCAACGTCACCATCCACTTCCAGCTGAAGACCATTAACCTCCAGAGCCTGATCAACAATGAAATCCCAGACTGCTACACCTTCAGTATCCTGGTGAGCCCACGGTCCCTGGGGTGTGGATGAGGAACCAGCCCGTGATGGGGTAGGGTGGGGGCAGGGCACAGGACTCCTGAACTCTGGAGCTGGGGGACCCTGGGCCAGGGGCAGTGTGGGGGTGATAGGGGAGGCTGGGGCTGGAGAGACCATCCCCCCTGTAGGTCTGGGAGCCTTGGGTCTGCCAAGGTTTACCCTGTCCCATCTCATCTCACCGCACCCCTGCAGATCACATTTGACAATAAGGCACACAGTGGGCGTGTCCCCATCAGCCTAGAGACCCAGGCCCATATCCAGGAGTGTAAGCACCCCAGCGTCTTTGGCCATGGTGAGCTCCCAATCCCCAAACCAGTGCTGCCCAGGGGCTCTGCATTTCCGTGGGAGCCCCAAGCCCCAGACCAGCATGGACCAAGCTCCCAACTCACCCAGAGAAACCTATGAGCCCACTGACCAGCCCAAACCAGCCCTGAAGCCCCCCGGGCTTGGCCCAGTCGCCTCATAGCCGGTCCTGGCTTTGGCACCCTCCCCACAGGAGACAACAGCTTCCGGCTCCTGTTTGACGTGGTTGTGATCCTCACCTGCGCCTTCTCCTTCCTGCTGTGTGCCCGCTCACTGCTCCGAGGCTTCCTCCTGCAGAATGTGAGAACCACCCCCAGCCTCACCCAGCTCTGGAACCCTTGGGGCCGCCAGGGTGGTGAACCTCCCCTGCCCAGACTGGCCCTCACCCCACCCGCCTACCCCTGCAGGAATTTGTCAGGTTCATGTGGCGACGGCGGGGACGGGTCATCAGCCTGTGGGAGCGGTTGGAATTTGTCAATGGCTGGTACATCCTGCTGGTCACCAGCGACATGCTCACCATCTCGGGCACCATCATGAAGATTGGCATCGAAGCCAAGGTGGGTCCTGCCCGTGCCCTGCCTCCCCACCCCATCTCCTTCCAGACCCTGGCCCCCTCTCCCACTCCCTGCTGATGCCATCCCCAGGGAAGGGCCGGATGGAGTTGACGCTACTCCCACCCCTAGAACCTGGCAAGCTACGACGTCTGCAGCATCCTCCTGGGCACCTCTACTCTGCTAGTCTGGGTTGGAGTCATCCGCTACTTGACCTTCTTCCATAAGTACAATGTAAGCTTCGGACATACAGGCAGGGCCCTCTTGGTGGAGGCCACATGTCCCTTAATTCCCACGCCCCCCCCCCCCCCCCCCGGATAAATCATACCCGTATTGCCATTAACAGCCCCTGCAGATGACCCACCAGGAGCCTCTTCCCCATACCTGCCCCCCCAGGCCCGCCAGACATACCTGTCACTCGACATGGGCAGGGGCTGTGTGAGCCCACTTTCATCCCCAACCCCCTGCCAACTGAATCCAGCCAAGGGGGTGTGCCCTCAGCACCGTGCTGCCCCTCTGAGGCTCCCTCCAGCTTCTGTGGTCACCCTGGCTGGCCTGTATTGTGGGTCTGCCTACACTGCTGTTCCCCCCCCCCCACCCCACAGATCCTCATCGCCACGCTGCGGGTGGCCCTGCCCAGCGTCATGCGCTTCTGCTGCTGTGTGGCCGTCATCTATCTGGGCTACTGCTTCTGTGGCTGGATCGTGTTGGGGCCCTACCACGTGAAGGTAGGGGCTGGCAGGGACCTGTGGGTGATGCTCATGACCCACCATCCAGGGGTCCCTGGCTCCCCTTCTTACTTCCTGAGTTCTCTGACACCAGCGGGTCCACCTGCTGTTGATCTGGTGACACCGAACAACCCACCTTGATCCCTGGTACCTTACTAGCAAGTCGCCAGCAGTTCTGTCCACTGTCCTCTCTGAACCCCACCCCGGTGACCCTGGCCTTGACCCTTATTCAGTGACCCATCCCCCCCACTTGGCCTCACCATGACTACTAGTGCTTGGTCTGCTGTCCCCTCTGACTCCCCAATGCCACTACCAGCCCCATCTCAGCCCCCAGCCATGCCCCCAGCTTGCTCTGACCCCGCTACTGCGCTGCCTGCCCGCAGTTCCGCTCACTGTCCATGGTGTCCGAGTGCCTGTTCTCGCTTATCAACGGGGATGACATGTTCGTGACCTTCGCGGCCATGCAGGCGCAGCAGAGCCGCAGCAGCCTGGTGTGGCTCTTCTCTCAGCTCTACCTGTACTCCTTCATCAGCCTGTTCATCTACATGGTGCTCAGCCTCTTCATCGCACTCATCACAGGCGCCTACGACACCATCAAGGTCAGCCACCTCCCTGGGGGCCACCGCACACGCATTAGCGCACAGCCCCAAGCTCGGGCTCTGAGTCCCTCGAGGTTGGCCACAGCGGGGTGAGGTGAGAAGGACCCTGGGAAAGAATATGGGAGACTCCATGATGCCAAAGGAGAGGTTAGCTCGGAATTGGGGGGTCCACAAGGGGCCGACACCATCCTCGTCACAGCTGCTGCATTCTCAGTTTTATCAAGGTGTGGGGCCAGGTACGATTCCTGCATCTTTTACCAACAGGGAAGCCAAGCCATTGGAGTAGGAAATGGCAGCCCACTCCAGCATTCTTGCCTGGAAAATCCCTTGGATAGAGGAGCCTGGTGGGCTACATTCCCTAGGATTGCAAAGAGTCGGACACGACTGAGTGACTGAACACACCCAAACCAAGCCATAGAGTTTCAGTGACCCACCCAAGGTTGGCTACTAGGCAGATGGTGAACCCAGCTCATCCCGAAACTTGTGTGATTCCAGAAGTGCTGCTCCCAACCCCTCTGTCCTGTGGGTCTGGGGAATGGTGGTGGTCCTGTAGGCTGCATGGCCCAGAGCAGAAGGTGGGCGTGACAGGTAGACAGACTCTTTCAGCAGATATGTTTGGGAGCGTGTTGTGTGCCAAGCCTGGTGCCAGGTGTCTGTCCAGCACTGGTGGGCAGGATGGATAATGGACAAACCAGAGTATGGCGATCTACTGATGGGAGGTGGTATAAAAAGGAAGTACTGAAGGTTACAGAGGTCCCTTGCTTTAGACTGGTGTTGGGCTGAGTCCAGGCAAATTTCTCAAATGTGCTGTCTGGTCTCTGGCCACACAGGTGACTAGTTACACTTTGACTTTCATGAAAATGAAACAATTTGAAATTCAGTTCCTCACTCACACCAGGCATAGAGCAAGCACCCAAACGCCAGTGTGGTTAGTAGCTCCCAGATTTAGACAGCACAGATATCAAACCTTTCCATCATCTCAGAACATTCTGGATTGATGAGACAAGAGCCCAGGAGAGAGCACACCAGGGAGAAGGAACTGCCAGAAAGGATTTGGAGAAGAGAGTGGTCCCATGAGGTTGGGAAGGGCAAAAAAGAGCCTGAAAGCCAGAACTTCCCTGCAACTGGGAATGCAGAAGACTGCACTGGCCTGTGCCTGGACATACAGCCAGGCGACAGACATACTTCTGTCACTCAGACCCAAGGACCCCTCATCGGTCTTCCTCTAGCACATTAAGATCACACGTGTGTGTCAGCCTTGGGGGTACAAACCCAGACCTTGCTTCTGCTGTGTGCACCCAAGTCAGTAGGTGGTTGCCAAGCACCCAGATTGGGTCCAGCATGGCTCTAGGTGGTGGACTCACAGGTGGAGAGGGCACATTCAGTGGTCAGGGAATGTCTCCAGGTGAAGCAAAGCACGGGGAACCAGCAGGTGGAGGGCACAGCATGTGCAAAACCCCAGAGGAGGGAGCCTGGTTGGTCCACCAGGATCAGGGAGGAGATTCAGATGGTTGGAGAGGAGGGGGAGGGTAGGGGTGTCTTTCATGCGGGCCCCGGGTCTCTCTCCCCAGCACCCAGGCGGAGCGGGCGCAGAGGTGAGCGAGCTCCAGGCCTACATCGCGCAGTGCCAGGACAGCCCCACCTCCGGCAAATTCCGCCGCGGGAGCGGCTCCGCCTGCAGCCTCCTTTGCTGCTGTGGCAGGTTCGAGGCTGCTTTGGCTCGGGTTTGGGATTGGCTGGTGGAAGGGAAGCGGACGGAGGGAACCGATGCTTTCCACCTCCGCTAACACTGTCCCTCCTTCAGGGACGCTTCGGAGGAGCATTCGCTGCTGGTGAATTGACTCGGACCCGGACTGCTACTGGACATTAACCACCACTCCCCGGAGTGCGGAGACCCAAGCTTATTTATTTTTACCCTTTGCTTTTAAGGGCCGGCTGCCAGTCGGGCCCCGTGAGGGCCTGGGCCAGTCGGGTCGGACGTTGGACAAGGATAGGGTGGGTGTTAAATAAACGGGAAAACAAACTTGTTCTCATTTGTAGTGGGAGGGGAATCCCCTGCGCCAACTGGTCGCGGGTCCCTTTAAAGCGTCGCCACACTCCGCGCGACCTTCTAAGCACGGCGGGGGGCGGGGGGGGCGGGGCTGCGGTGCGCCCTGCGGTGAATAATTTAAAGGGGCCGCGCCTGAGGCGCTGGGCGGAACGCTAACGGAGTTGGAGCAGGGTGGACCCCAGTTGCGGCTCCTGGGTGAGTCCGGGTTTCTTTGGCACCCGCAGGGACATCCCTTCTCGGGTTGTTAGCGAGCCCTTGGCTTTCCTAAGATCTGTCTTCCGTCGATTCTCGGTAGCTCTCGACTTCCTGACTCTTACCCCGCTCCCCCAGCTCCCAGCAGGTGTTTTCGCACCGGTAGCCAGGTGCATCCTCGGGTGGGAGGAGACCAATCCCCTGCGAATTTTCCAGGTACGGTCTCAAGGGCACAGTGACTCCCCCAAATTTCCATTAGTACTCTGAGGTTGCCAAAACAGTCTCAGCTTCCCAGAAAAGTCTCAGTGATATTCCAGCATTCTTCAGTATCACGCTCCAACAACTCCAGGGATGTACCCAACCAGTTCCCGATTTTCCCAGTGATAGTCTTATATGCCTCGCAATCTCTCGATAACTTTTTATTGACCCCTAGTAACTCCAGCGTCCCTGGTTACGTCTCCCAGAAATGGTCCCAGCCTCGTTCCCCGATTCCCAGGGATGCTCCGCACCATCAGAAAACCCCTAAATTTACTATTACGTGACAGTAAATCTCCAGCATCAACCAGTAACACTTTGCGAGCCCACCCCACTCCGAGCATCCCAGGATGCTACTGAGACCTCGGCATTGCATCACGACTCCTTGTGAAGGCGCTCCTGGCAGCATTCCGGCGGGAGCCAGGCATCTCCCCAGCCCCATGACTCGGGCCCGGTTTCCCTGGGGTGCGGCATCCAGTGTACGCAGAGGGTGCAGGGGTGCGGCCTAGGGATAGGGTCAGGATTGATCCTGCAGAGAGGGCCACCTGCTGGAGAAAACCGTGCCCCTTGGGGAACCTGTTTTCTGGCTGCTGATAGTAGGTGTCCTACCGGCTGCCCTTTAGCCCCAGGGTGTGGCTGGACAAGTGGGGCGTCAGGCCGGTCTGGTGAGTAAGTAAGGAGACCCTGGTAGGGACCCGGGGACCCACCTCACTCCCTAGCTCGGGACCCGAACTCAATTTGCCCCACCCCTCTGCTCCGCAGCACCCCTCCAGCCGTGCCCAAGCCGGCAGAGAAACCTCCCGGCAGTAAGGGTAAAAAGAGGGCAGGGCTTGCTGCAGGGGAGGAGCGGGCCCAGAGTGACGACTTGCCCGGGTTGCTCCGGTTTCTCACTCCCCAGGAGTGCCAGACGTGCAGCCCTGCCAGAAGAAACAGATGGACGCCCCGCTGCAAACCGAAATGGTAAGGGTTGGGGGTTGTGCACCGCCACGGGGACTACAGTTCCCGACGTGCTTAGCGCGCATCATCGCGGTCCCGCGATAACTAGGCTGCGTTTGTTCAGGCTGAACTACGCTTCCCGGCGTGCACTGCGGGCCGGCGAACCTCCAGAAAGAGTTGACTCCCCGGGGGAGGGAGCCGCGCTGGCCCATTTTGCAGATGGGGACATCGAGGGCCGAGCCGAGTGTGATCTCCGGAGCGGACTTGGCTCCGTTGGATGGAGTCCCGGGCGTCCCGGCCCCCGGGGAAGGCTTGACGGGCCCGGTGTGCGATGCGCAGCCTGTGCCATTCGTCCCGCAGGTGCTGGGCATGATGATCGGCGCTGGAGTCGCGGTTCTGGTCACGGCCGTGCTCATCCTGCTGCTGGTGCGGAGGCTTCGAGTGCCGAGTGAGGACCGGGAGGGCCTTCTGGGGCTGTTGAGGGATGGGAAGGTGAAATGTCTGGGCCCCTGAGTCAGTAGAAGTGGGATGTGCTGGAGCCCGCAGGCAGCGTCCCCATCTCTCGCCGGGCGGAGTATGCGTTTAGCTCAGAATGCCCCTCTCCGCCCTTGTTATCCCCAGAAACCCCAGCCCCGGAGGGCCCCCGTTACCGATTCCGGAAGAGAGACAAAGTGCTTTTCTATGGCCGGAAGATTATGCGGAAGGTAAGTCTGGGACCCTCTGAGGCTCCTTTTGGCCACACAGAGGCCCTGCCCTTTTCCTAGTTATACTTCTTAGTAAGCCCGCCGCCCTCCTTGATTAAGGGCCTCTGGATTTGCCCTCGCCTCTCTGGGTCTGAACTGGCAGTTGATGCATTCCTCTCACCCCCCTTCCCCTTAATTCTCCCAGGTGTCACAATCCACTTCTTCCTTAGTGGACGCCTCCGTCTCCACCACTTCCCGCCCGCGCATGAAGAAGAAACTTAAGATGCTCAACATTGCCAAGAAGTAAGGCTGTGCTGGGTGTACCCAGGGCTATGTTCAGGGCTTTTTGAGTGATCAGCCCACACCGAAGTGTGTATCTCGGGCTTCTTTGAACCCCATGAACTGTCTGTCTTAGGAGTCTTTCCACGTCTGTGGGACTGTTTCAGAGCTCTCCCCTACCAGACAGGTTGTTTCTATTCCTTGAGGGCTCTCTCAGTCATGTTTCTCTACTACAGAAGTATCTGTGAGTTATTTAATCCCCAGTTACTATCTCTGGCTTCCCTGGTGGCTCAGTGGTAAATAATCCACCTGCCAATGCAGGAGGTGTGGATTTGATCCTTGGGTTAGGAGATCCCCTGGAGAAGGAAATGGCAACCTACTCCAGTATCCTTGCCTGGAAAATCCCATGAACCTGGCAGGCTACAATCCATGGGGTCACAAAGAGTAGAACATAACTCAGAAACTAGACAACAACAATGCTATCTTGGATGTCTTGCCCTGGTCCAATCTCCCCACGTGAAAGGGTTTATTCCAGGGTACTCCAGAGTGTTTCTGTGACCTGCTGGAGGGGCTGTCTCTACCTTTTGCTCCCCAGGGGTTATCTCTGCAGTCCCTCTACATCAGAAAGCATCTCTCTATGTCACCTTCGTTGCAGTTCTTCTACTACAAGGAGACTGTGTCAGGGATTTCTGTTCCCTAGGAGTCATCTCAAGAATCTTTTCACACTAGAGATAGGAAGAACATCTCAGACGTGTTGTCATAAAAGGGCTACCTCAGGGTTTCTGAGCAAGGCTCTCCCAGAAATCGTTCTAAGCTGAGAGCTGACTGTGGGGTCTCCTGACAATGTAGGGTCTATGTGAAGGTCTGTCTCAAGTGTTTCTTCACACTGAGGTGCTATGCCCGGGCTGACCACAGTCAGTAGGTGTGCTATCCCATGGCTTTCTATGACTTGAGCAGAAGGGCTGTCTCGAGGTCTTCCACAATGAGCTGAGGGTCTGTCCAACTCCTGGGGTGCAGTCTCATTGATTGCACAGCCTTGAGGAGCTACCCTGATGTCACCATGACCTTCGAAGGGTTATCTCAGTTCTCTGTGCTCTGGATAAGGGCTAGCCCAAGGATCTCCCTGATCAGAAGGGGAGCTATTGCTCAATTTCTCTGTTCTGTGGAGTTTAACTCAGTTTGAGCTCATTCTAGAGGGTCTATCTTGAGCATCTTGTGACCAGTGGAAGGACTGTCTCAGTAATAACTATGCCTTGCAGGGAAGAGCTGTCTGAGGTCCATGATCAGCAGAGGAGCTGTATCTGGAGTCTCTGTCTGTAACCAGGGCTATCTCAAGAGCCTCTGTGGCCATCCAAGGGGCTCTCTCAGGGCTGTCTGAGGCTTAGGAGGAAGGGCTATCTCAGGGATGGTTATAAAGAGCAGAGAGGCTGCATCTGGGGTCTCCTGATATAACGGAAGCTACCCCAGGGGTCTGCCTCCATGAGGGAGGCTGTATCAAGGAGTCTAGTCTGTGATTGCCAGCTGATGGACTATCTAGGGTGCCATGATGAACATAGATGCTTTTGCTGAGGTCTGCTCATATCTTGGAAGCTATGTCAGGAGTCTGCCCAATGAGAGGTTCCATCTAGGAAGCCTGTGACTAGTGGAGGGCAACCTCAGAGTTTTACATCAGGGGTCAGCAAGTTTCTTTTTTGGACCACATCTTAGGCTTTGCAGGCTGCATACAACGGTAATGTAATGACTCAATCCTGCTGTTGTATCATTAAAGCAGCCACAGATATGTGTAAATGAATGAATGTAGCTGTGTGCCAATGAAACTTTATGGACAAAAGGAGGTGGCTGGCCTGATTCAGCCAGTGGGCCAGAGTTTGCTGACCACTGCTCTAAGGACCCCAGGAGGGGCTCTGTGGGGGCAGGAGGATCTGAGGTCTGCCTGAGCCTCCTCTCTGCTCTCCACTGCCCCCATCCCCCTCTCCTGCCACCAGGATCCTGCGCATCCAGAAAGAGGCGCCCACGCTGCAGCGGAAGGAACCCCCGCCTGCTGTGCTGGAGGCTGACCTGACCGAGGGTGACCTGGCCAACTCCCACCTGCCCTCCGAGGTGCTCTACATGCTCAAGAACGTCCGGTCAGTGTCAGGGTGCAGGCAGGGCCGTTGCCGAGCTGGGGCTGACCTGACCTCCTCATATCTGCATTTCCCCGCCTTCCCTGTCCAGGGTGCTGGGCCACTTTGAGAAGCCACTCTTCCTGGAGCTGTGCCGCCACATGGTCTTCCAGCGGCTCAGCCAGGGCGACTACGTCTTCCGGCCTGGCCAGCCGGACGCGAGCATCTACGTGGTACAGGACGGGCTCCTGGAGCTGTGTCTGCCGGGGCCTGTGAGTGTGCCACCCTGGGGGGCTCCGCGGGGTAACGAGGTGGGCAGCAGGACAGGCAGGGGCGCCACAGTCACTGGGGACGGACAGTGGTTTTGGTAGGCAGAGTTGGTGGTTTTTTTTTTTTTAATTTGGGCCGTGCTGCATGGCTTGCAGAATCTCAGTTCCCTGACCAGGGATCACATCCAGGCCATGGCAGTGAAAGCACTGAATCCTAACCACCAGACCACCAGTGAAGTTCCCATGTTGGTGGTCCTTATAAGATGTACAGGCAGGAGTCAGGAACAGATGCCCAGGGGCGTCTGGGGTGGTCAGCACAGTCACCAGCTAGTTAGCGCTGCTGGTGGGAAGGTTCATGGGGTCAGGATGTCAGCGATCACCAGGCTACGTGAGAATGAGGGCTGGTGGCTTGGTCAGGGGGCAAGAGGCGGGTCAACAGGGTAAGGGTAAGGGCAGCACTGGTCAGTGCCCACCCCACTTTGTGTGTCTCAGGACGGGAAGGAGTGTGTGGTGAAGGAAGTGGTTCCTGGGGACAGTGTCAACAGCCTCCTGAGCATACTGGATGTCATCACTGTGAGTCACCAGTACGGAGGGGTGTGGGGAGACGGTAGGCCACACCCACTGGACTGGGTAGGAGAGGGTCACCCCCAGAGCCCCCACCTCTGATGGGCCTCTGATGTTTCCAGGGGTCCCTCAAGGAATGGCATTGGTAAGGGGCTGGGGGGGGGGCAGGCAGGGGGCTGTTACCACCCCGACCTTGACTCTCCTTGCACTCCCAGGGCCACCAGCATCCCCAGCGTACTGTGTCCGCCCGGGCAGCCCGAGACTCCACGGTGCTGCGGCTGCCGGTCGAGGCTTTCTCAGCCGTGTTTACCAAGTACCCGGAGAGCCTGGTGCGAGTGGTGCAGGTGAGTGGGCGGTTCAGTTCCCTCCATGACCCCCGCCCATCACAGGCTCCTGGGGGCTGGACCCAGCTGCCAAGAGGCGCTCACGGTGGGCTTATCAACTCTGAGCAGCCAGACCTCATCGACTCCTCCTCTGAGTCGCCTCCACCCCATCTCCCCAGGCTTCTGCCACCTGACTGTGGGTTTCTCCCTGGCTCCTGTGGCTCTGCCCAGCCCCTTCCTTCTCTGATCTTGACCTCTGACCTTAGCTCCATCTCCTCCTCCCCATCCATGGCCCCACCCCCTGAGTGCTAGGTCCCCACTTTCTCCTGGGGCTCACCCTCTTTCTCCTTGGCCCCCGCCTCTGCCGACCACGCCCCCGAAGATCATCATGGTGAGGCTGCAGCGGGTCACGTTCCTGGCACTTCACAACTACCTGGGCCTGACCAATGAGCTCTTCAGCCATGTGAGTTGCCTGCAGAGTACCAGGGGCCGGAGGGGTGAGTCCTGCCTCCCCCGGACATGCCACAAGTATGCCCTCTGCCCCTAGGAGATCCAGCCGCTGCGCCTCTTCCCTAGCCCGGGCCTCCCACCCCGCACCAGCCCGGTGCGTGGCTCCAAGCGGATGGTCAGTGCCGCGGCCTCAGAGGAGCTGAGGGAGACCCCTGGCCGGCCGTCTGACCCCACTGGGGCCCCACTGCCCGGGACTGGAGTTACCCAAGGTGACCCCTGCCTGGCTCCCAGGAGCTCAGGTTGAGCCAGCCTCTGCCCCTCAGTGCCTGTCTCAGTTCCTCAGGGACTCCCACCTGACCTGCCCAGCCCCCCAAAAGTGAAAGTGTTGGTCGCTTTAGTCATGTCTGACTCCTTGTGACCTCATGGACTATAGCCTGCCAGGCTCCTCTGTCCATGGAATTCTCCAGGCAGGAATACTAGCCATTTCCTTCTCCAGAGGATCTTCCCGACCCAGGGATCGAACCCAGGTCTCCTGTATTGTAGGCAGATTCTTTACCATCTGAGCCACCACGGAAGCCCTCAGCCCAAGAGCCCTTTCAGCTAGGTCTCCAGGTCTTCCTCCTGCCTGGTCCCCCAGAAGCCCTGGCCTCAGTCCCACGGGCCCACTGGAATTGCTTTTCCTAGTCGCCCAGTCCCCAGGAACTCTGAGCTGACCCCTCCTCGAGCCCCCTTCTGTTCCCCACCCCCTGATCCTCGCTGTAGACCTGGGGGCTCCGAGGGGCCGGAGCCTAATTCCACGTCTCCTCCAGGGGACCCAGTGAAGCCCACATCCCTGGAAACCTCCTCAGCCCCCTTGCTGAGTCGCTGCATCTCCATGCCAGTGGATATCTCAGGTTTGGGGCACCAGGTGGAGCTGGGGGAGGCCATCAAATATCATTTATTTACTTATTTTTGCCTGCAGTGGGTCTTCGTTGCTGTGCAAGGGGGCTCCTCTTCATTGTGGTGCACGGGCTTCTCATGCAGTGGCGTCTCTTACTGCAAAGCATGGGCCCTAGAGTGTGCACTTAGTAGGTGTGGCTCACGCGCTTACTTACTGGGGGGCATGTGGGATCTTCCTGGACCAGGAATAGTACAGGTGTCCCCTGCATTGGCAGGAGGGTTCTTAACCACTGGGTCACCAGGGAAGTCCACCTGCCTCCCAGTCTTGGTTTTTCTTATCCATGAAGTAGGAATATTGGGGGCATTTCTCATGTCTTTTTTTTCTGTGGGTCCTTGTTGAGATGGTGCTCTCCCACTGTACTGAGAAGGGTTGCAAGGGATAGAGAGAGGCGATGGATTAGTCCATGTCTTTACGGCTGCTGCCTGGGATAACGTTATTAGATAGTGTTTGCTTAGATTCCAGCTATGGTTACTCTCATCTTTATTGCATTTATTGCCCCTCATCCACCACAGGCTTGCAGGGTGGCCCCCGCTCGGACTTCGACATGGCATATGAACGGGGCCGGATCTCTGTGTCCCTGCAAGAAGAGGCTTCAGGGGGGTTCCAGGCAGCCTCAGCTCGGGTAAGGTCTTGCCCTCTTCCCCCACCCATCCCTCCTGACTCCAATCCCCTCCTGGAACCCTGGCCTAGCCAAAGGTGGAGTCTCCCAAGGAGGAAGGTTGGAGGGAGCATGGAGGTCACAGACCCTGCCCCACAGACTCCCAGTCAGGAGCTCCGGGAGCAGCCAGCAGGCGCCTGTGAGTACAGCTACTGTGAGGACGAGTTGGCCCCCGGCAGCTGCCCCTTTGGGCCCTACCAGGGCCGCCAGACAAGCAGCATCTTTGAGGCAGCAAAGCAGGAGCTGGCCAAGCTGATGCAGATTGAGGTGGGTAGCCCAGGGCGTCTAGGGGACCAGGTAAGGGGGGTAGTAGGTGTGCCTGGGCTGTCTCAAACCCCTATCCTTCCTCCTCAGGATCCCACCCTTCTGAATAGTCGAGTTCTGCTACATCATGCCAAAGCTGGCACCATCATTGCCCGCCAGGGGGACCAGGTGAGTCTGACCCTTGACCTCTGACCCTGCAGCTCTGACCTGAGACCTCTCTCTCTCTCTGATCTCTGATCCTTGCCTTTTCACCTTACATGTAGACCTCTCAGTCCATGATTTCCAACCCCTGACCTTTGGATCCTATGATTCTCACCCCCAGCCCTCCTTCCCCATGTCCTCTGGACCTACTGACCTTTCCCCTGCAAACTGGAACCTTTAACACTAGGACCCCCACCCCAAGATCTCTCTTCTCTGCCCTTGGCCATTCCTGCAACCTCCATTTTTCTGACCTTCAAAATCTACAACATATTCTGATGCTCTATTTCTTATCCTAGGTCCCTGCTGGGATGGGGGGTGGTGGGGCTCACTAAATGGGTGCAGGTGTGAATCTGACCTGGAGGCCAGGAACCAGCCCCACGAGCCTCACGAACTGGATTTCATTGCCCTCTGATGGCATGCAGGAAGTGGAGGAAACCGTAGCCCACTAATCTGCCCATTCTCCAGACAGGGAAACTGAGGCCCTTTCGTGACATCACAGCTGGGGAGCATAGGGGAGGAGGCTTAAAGAGGGAACCAGAGTTGCAGCCCTTGGGTGACCCTGGGTGAATCATCAGGGAACCAGAGTTGCAGCTGTTGGGTGACCTTGGGTGAATCATACAGAAACTTCTCATCTTTCCCATTTGCGGAATGGGGGGGCGAGGGCATGGCTCATAACTACCTCCAGGAACTGTTATGAGGACCAGACAGGAAGTACTCAGTTCTGAGCTGCTAGGGTATGTGCAAGGGTGACCACAGAGGAAGGCATGGTGACAATGGGGGGGGGGTGACAGTAAGAGTGACATGACTTAAGTGCTGAGACCACAGCAGCGCCCCAGGCTCAGGAGAGGGAGGTCTGGGTTTGGAGGAGGGGATGTTAGCTGGCTGGATGATGGTGGTTTTTATTTTAATTAGATTCTAGTTGATTTGTTATATCACGTGATCAGTTTCATTGTATTGTCACTTTGAGCTGCTCAGTGCAGAATGGGCTTCTTCCTGCAGAGTACATTTGGTGGCCGCTGTTCGAGGTATTGGAGGCCTGGCTGAGGAAGTGTGGTCACACCATGGCCCTTGCAGGGGCCCCTGGGCCCTGCTTATCTGTGAACTTCTGCTGGGCTCAACTCAGCCCAGCCCAGCCCAGCCTGCTAACATACCAGGCTGGTGTGCAGCCATCCAAGGCTCCTCAGGGTCTTCAGGACTTGGTTAGGGACAAAGCTGGTCTGCTGTGCCCCCTCCCAAAACCATGTACAGTGGTTTTCAGTGGGTGGTGGGAGGCAGTTTGGCCCACCCCCCTGGGATATTTGGCCATGTCGAGACTTTTTTTAAAGCTTTTCTTCAGTGTTTTTGAGATTAGATTTTATTTATTTACTTATTCATTTATCTGGCTATGTCTGGTCTTAGTTGTGGCACACAGGATCATCCTGTGTCAAGTGGGATCTTTCGTTGCAATGCACAGACCCTCTAGTTGTGGTGTGCAAACTCAGTTGCTCCACGGCATGTAGGATCTTAGTTGCCCAACCAGGCATCGAACCTGTGTCCCTTGCATTGCAAAGTGGATTCTTAACCACTGGACCACCAGGGAAGTCCCACAGGGCGACATTTTTGATTGGCTTGGGAGGGTGGTATTGTCACCTAATGGCTAGATGCCAGGGATGCAAGATGCACAGGCCAGCCCCCCACAACAGAATTATCCAGTCCAACATGTCAGTAGTGCCAACGTTCAGAAACCCTGCTTTCCACAAACATTTCCGAGTATATTTCACCGAACACCCCAATCACAAGGGATCTGAGTGCAACAGGTTTGGGGAACTTGGACTGTTTTAGTCCTTCTTGGAAGTGCCCAGTGAACTCATTAGCATATTCAAGGCTCTGAGAGTCCTGTTGTGGGGGGAAAAAACATGTTTACCAATCTGAGGATGAATGGCAGCCGAATACTAGTCACTTCCATTTGTAGCCCAAACCCAGCCTGGGAATTCTGTCTTGGAAGGTTCCAGCATGTGTGTATGTCCCCCGCCCCTCCCAAGGATCCTTGCTGTGTTTTGGTGCTCATCAGGGCTTTGTGGGGTGTCATACAGGTTTGTGTGCTGGATGAGGAAGGAATGTTTCTGTCTCTAGGCAGTTTCAGTTCCTTATTTAAGAGGGTGGTACAGAGTGGTGTCCAGCTGGGCAGGCTAACCAGAGGGGAGAGGGGTATTTGCTCTGTCCCAGGCTTGCTGTAGGGCCAACAAACACCCGCGGGGTCCCCTGCCCTTGAGAAGCTCACAGATAGACCTTTCCTCAAAGGATGATACAGATCGTTGCTAAATCACATAGGCTTCGTGCTACAAAGGGGATGTCCTCAGTTCTACAACGTCTGATTTAGGCAGAGCAGTGTCTCTGAGGAAGTGACCTCCAGTGAAGGAGGAAGAACAAAGAGAAATTAACTAGGTGCAAGGGGGAGGAAAAAGCATTCTAGGCAGAGGGTACAGTTTGTGCAGATGCCCTGTGGTGGAGCTGTCCCATCTCGAAAACAAAGGAAAACCAACACGGTTGGAGCAGAGCACAGAACTGAGAGCAAAGGGGATTTTTTTTTTTTTTTTGTACCAGTCAGCTTGTGGGATCTCAGTTTCCTGACCAAGGATTGAACCTTGGCTTCAGTAGTGAAAGTGCCAAATGCTAACCACTAGACCACCAGGGAACTCCCCAAAGGGGATTTTTTTTTTTTTTTTTGGTGATAATTTTAGAGATGCAATTAACGCATTATACAGTTCACCCATTTGAAGAGTACAATTCAGTGGTTTTTACTATATTCAGAGTTGTGCAACCATAACCACTGTCAATTTTAGAACATCACCTTAAAGAGAAACACCACACTCTAAAGCCATCCATCTCCTACCTCCTAACCAGTGGCAGCCCTAAGCAACTACTGATTGTATGTTTCTGTAGATTTGCCTGTTCTGGACATTTCATATAAATGGAATCAAACAATATGTTGCCCTTTGTGTCTGGGATTCTTTCCCTTAGTATGATGTTTTCAGGGCTCGCCCATGTGGTGGCATGCATCAGCGCCTGATTCCATTACAGCTGAATACTGTTCCATCATAGGAATGAACCACATTTTGCTTCTCAATTCATCAGCTGATGGACATTGAGTTATTTCCACCTTTTGGCTAGTATGCAAAATAGCATGATTCAGGTATGAACATTGTGTACACATGTCTGTGTGGATATGTTTTCATTGTGTCTTAGGAGTTGAGTTGCTGGGTCATATAGCAACTCTGGAGAAGGAAATGGCAACCCACTCCAGTATTCTTGCCTGGGAAATCTCAGGGACAGAGGAGCCTAGTGATTCCAGTCCATGGGGTTGTAAAGAGTGAGACATGACTGAGCATGCATGCCCAACACAATGGCAACTCTATCTTTGAATCTTTGAGGACTGTTTCCCAGTGGCTGCACCATTTTACATTTTTACATTTCCACCGGCAGTGTTTAAGGATCCCAGTTTCCTACACCTCTCTGACACTTTTTGATTCTAGCCATNGATTATTAGTATCAAATACACCTCACCAGACTAGTTTTGCAGTTTTTAAGTTACCAGGGACTATAAACTTCCTAGAAGTTCACCAGGACCTGGTGTATATTCTGCAATCCCAGACCAACAAAAATTAAATTTTTGTTGCAGCCTTCTCAAATCACAGTTTGCATTACTATTATTCCTATTACTTAAAGGTATTTTATTGAGATCATTTCAGAACTAGGCTTTGAACAGTTGAGGGAATTGTTCTGAAGAAGGTGAAGAGAACAAAAGTATTTCAGTCAGGGGCATGATACATGTAAAGTGCATGATGAGGTATAGGGCATGCACAAGATGATGGAATATACCAGGCTAGCGCCTAAACAGCTCTGCTGAGGAGAAATACAGGAAAATTTTGGATGGCTTTCAAACTGTTACTTCTTTTCCCTCATGCATGCAACAGTCCTTGTTCAGTTCCTGTTCAAAACATCAGCTTATTCTCTTCCATTCTCTCTTTTATCCTTTATCATAAAGAATTCCAGTCCATTCCTTCTAATCTCTGTAGTTTATCTACTGGGTCAGAGTTAAGATGATCATATGCGTTATATTCAAATTAGTAAAATTTGAGAGTGAAAGAGAATGTTACTGATAATTATGTCATTACATTAGGTAAAAATCAGGTAGTTCCAGGACAACTTCTTCATATTGTGGATGAATTGACCCCCTTTTGTGTCTTTATATCCTTTACATGTGCCCAGTCTTACACATTAGATTTTGAGTTCCAAAGCAAGGATAAATACATGTGCTGTAATTGTGTGTATATTTATTATATATATAAACTATTAACATTTATGAACATGTGACTATGTGTGTGTATATATGTTTTTATAAACTTTCAGTTTAGTCCAATACACAGCAAGTGTATTTTAAAAACTGGATTTACAGGGTATCTTAAGCTTTAAAGGAAGCACTACATATAATGAATAAAAATCAATTGGTAAAATAAATATACTTACACTCATGTTAGAGAGTAACAAATATTCTTAAATATTTACATTTGATCTCTGTGCATTTGCATTTTAAAATTTTGTTTGTGATTATTTTGTTGATTGAATCACCACTTGAAATGAATGCCTTAATTTAATCCTGATCCTAGGAAACAAGTCATTTCATGTTCAAATTAACCCACATTTCACCCATTATATTGATTATGTTAGCTATTAGAGAATTCAATTTTGTATTATAAAAATAGGTCTGTTTAATTATAGTGATTAATGTAGGTAGTATAAGCATTCTAGATGAAAACCTTTAATTGTTCAGTTTAGTGTACAATCATCCGTATTGCTTTTGTGTGCATCAGGCTGTGTGATTCCTATTGGATCTTTACAGAGAAAATCAGATGGTTCCACACATAATCAAGAGAATAACTTCTTAAAGGTATTTAACAATATATTCCTTCCAATTCTATGAGCATTGATTAAAAATATACTCTAAAGCCAGTATATCATCAAATCCT